GACTGTCCTCTTCCCTGCTCCTGCCTGCAGCACCGCAACATGTGGCCACTAGAGTGGGCTTTTTGATAGCCACTCCCCCCTCAACATCCTCCCAAGCTCCCCACGCCCTGTGGCAAAGGTTTGCTCTCCTGCAAAGCTCCAAGGGCTCCCTGGGCCCCAGCCTGGCTGCGTCTTCAGCCACAGAGTCTGCATCCACAGGTCACACTCCAAGCCCTGGACGCACAGGGAGCTCTTGCCACGCCACATCCTCTTGTGCTTCCAGCCCTTGACCCACGCTCTCCTCCCCCACAGGCTCTGCTCGGGGCCCCGACCAGGCAATAAGAGTGTCGCAGTGGTTGGGAAGGCAGCAGGTGCCGGGGGGCAGCAGCCAGCTCTGAAGGTGGCTCTGAAGCCCAAAGCGTGAGGCCTCGGGTGCAGCTGTTCACCTCCCTTACCCCAGGAATCTCATCTCTCACTCAAATGGTGTAATAGCACTTAACTCATGGGTCTGAAAGCATTAAATGAGTGCCAAGTACGTGTAAAGTGCTCGTGACAGTACCTGTCACGCGGTGGGTCCCCGAGCATGTGCACTCACATCTGTAGTGATGCTGGTGGTGTGTCCACCCTAAGGAGTGTTTGGCACTTTGTCTGCAAATAGGAATAATCACGGCTCATAAAAATTATATGCACTGAAACGTGTAGAGTGCTCAGTACAAGACCTGGCACGTGGTGAATGCCTGGTGGTGGTTGTTATTATTATCGCCCTTGGATGCCCTTGTGCCCAGAAGGAATGCCCTGGGGCAGGTTGTGGGCCAAGACAGCATCTGAGCTGCCCGGCCCCCTGGTCTGCACTCGGCCTGGCTTGGGGGCGCTTGCTGTCACAGAGCTGCCTTTCTGCCTCGGCGCCCCAGCCCCAGCCCCAGCCCCAGCCCCCACCCCCCCGCCACTGCACCATCCACAACTTCAGACAAGCACAGCTTCGTCACTGAAACACGGGTGGCCCAGCTTTTGGAAAACTCACTCTGCCAAAGTGAAACATTAAAAAAAAACCCACACCTATTTATAGTGTGACTAGCAACAAAATTGTATCATAAAGTCAATTTTTAAAAATGTATCAATGAGTCAACCAATCAATCCACTGGTCACTTCAGCTTCGTGGGTCACTAACGATGACTTGCTTCACCCCATTAAAACAGAATCCATCCCACTGAAGAGAATGAAGAAGGAATGACAAAATCAAACAGCACGTTGTCAGCCCCAGGGAACGAACGGAAAGATCCTGGCAACCACCCCGCAAACGCCAGGCAGGCAGATGTGTGCCTCCTGAAGGAGAAACTCACACCACAGGTGGCTCCTGGCCGGAGAAAGAAGGGAAAACCAAGCCTGTGTCTGATCGAACTGCTAATTCACTTACAGGGAGTACAAAGACCAGGAGACAATATTGAACTCTACCAAGCGGACACAATCGGCAAAAGTTCCAACTGTGGGAAATGCTGCAGGACTTGTGACCCAGTTAGTTTCCTCCACAAAGCAGCAAGAGAGAAATAAAGATGGACTCTTACAGATGGAGGGCATTTAAAGGCTCACCCGCCCAACTGCAGTGTGTTGGCCTGACCTGGGAACTGAACACAACAAATTGGAAATAAAAGTATTTATAATATTTGTGAGACAGCAAGGCTGGACACTGGCTGCACATTTAATAATATTAAGAAATTGTTGAACATTTTAAAAAAGAGCTTGCGTCTTTTAAACTGAGAAGCATATTGAAATATTGACGGGTGAATGGACATTCCATCTGGTGCATGCCTCCAACGAGACAGAAGGAGGCAGGAGGCCAGGGATGTGCAGGGGCCCGCCTGACAGCACGGGGGTGTGGGTGATGGGCGCATGGGGTTCATGGTGCTGCTCGAATCTGCTTCTGCCTGTCCCCAGCCCTCTGTAAGGAAACGTTCCTAAAGAAAGCCAGCATATGAAAATTCAGGCTGCCCAGCGATGGGTGTGGAGCCTGTCTTCTGCACCCCCACCCCCAGGGTCCTCACACTGGGCTGTTATTCCCGGTTCTGGCCTGCTCTCTGAGTCTTCCACTTAGGGAGGGGCAAGTCTAGTTTCCTGGGTCAAGGAATGAGGTTCTTGGAGCCTCAGGGCCTGGCAATGATGAAGAATAAAAAGTCGAACAGGTGAATTCTCTGATACAAGAAAATCTAATCTTAGAATGAAGGTAGGTTAACTGGCAGTGACTCACATTTCAAAAGATTTGATTTAAATATAGCAAACATTTTGAAAATACAGCTTGATTTACAAGAGTTGGCAACCCCATAGGATTGCGTCTAATGCACAAGCTACATGAGGCTTGCTGACTGGTCCCTGAGAAACCCAGCTGCTGTTAATACCTGGCAGCTGCATGGGAGAAATCTCTCTGACGCCCAGACCCCAAGGGACCACAAGTAGCTAACAGCTCCCAGCCGCCCTCCCAAGCGTGTTTCCGAATCTTCACCTGTGCACCCTCCCCCTCCCACCGTGGTCAGTGCCACCACCGGCCGACGCCCGTGACTCTGTTCCCAGAGATCTCTCTGCCCTGGGAAAGACAGAGCAGCCTGCGTGGAGTTTCCCCTGTAGATGCCCCACCTCTCCCTGCCCCCACCGCCACCCCGCCTTTCCTGATCTTGCGGGGCAGCCTCCTACATCTGCATCTCCCACAGGTAGAAATCCACCCAGAGGCTCTGCCAGGGCCCTTGGGGCCACCCACCTCTGCAACTGGATACATATACTTTGTAAGCACTGGTTTCCAACAGATAAATGTAATCAAGGTTTATATGCTCAGAGAAGCCAACAGGATGGGATTGTTTCACTTGAAAGATCAGAAGAAAATTGTAACTAATGTTGTGGAAAATTACTTTGATATTGCTTTCTTGGTACCGAATCACAATTAGGCTGCTATGAGAAGTACAGGGAAAGAATAAATGAATAGTAACAAATCAACACAAACAGCCTGTGTCAGGAACACTTTGCTCAGGGAAAGTAACGTAAGCATTATTTAAAGTTTTATGACTGTTTGATGTGATTTACGCAGAGTGTCAAGGTTGCCCATCACCCAGCACGTGGCGAGGGTGGTCGAGCTCCATTTACAGCCTGAGAAACTCGGCTCAAACCCCAAGCTGCTCCTTGCCTGCATCCGCCCGGCTGCAGGGGATGCTGGCCTCAGCTTCCTTCCATCCTTCACACTCTGCCAGCCCGAGCCTCTGCGATCCGCCTCCACCCACCCAGCTCACTGCTTCACCTGGGAGATCCCAGCCACCAGACCCAACCCCACCCAGGACATGGCCCCTGCCTCTGGGGTGTACCACAGAGAGGCACACGGCCCTGCCCCAGCTGCGCCCCGCAGACACACTCTGCCTGCTCTCCCCGGCTGGTCGCACAGGAGAACACAGACAGTAGCCACGAGGCCCCTCTGCCCACGTGTGCACCGCCCCACACACAAAGACACACACCAAGGGTGGTGGTGCCACTCCCCCCAAGCTGTGTTTCAGGTCCCCCCAGCTGTGTTTCAAGTCCCCTTTTCAGGAGCCTGATTCCTCATAGACAATGCATGGCTGTGGGGCCGACTGTCAGTCAGTCCTGATGGCGCTGCCCATGGGCCTGGTTCTGCTGGCAGCGTTTTTAGCCTCACATGAAGCTGCAAAGTCCCCATTGAGGAGCCAGCTTGGTCACATGTCCTTGCTGGGGAACAGCCAGACCCACTTGTGACAGCCACCATCTGTGAGGGTCAGGCCCAGCGTGAGTCAGCACCAATGACTCGCTGCCATCTCCCGGGACAAAGGCCTTGGCTGCCTCTCACCGACCCTCTGTGATGAAAGACCCAACCCGCAGGCCTCCCACACCAGGGCCTCTGGGAGCAGATGTCAAGCCGGGGGCCCTGACCCTGGTCTCCTCGTGCTTCCTTCTGCCTTTCCCCCTATTGGCTGCCGGCACACATTCTACCCTGAGAGTGAGCGCCAGCCAGCACTGAGGGGAACTGGGAGGAGACTGCCTGCCTGAGCACCCCGTGTCCCCCAGCCCCTGAGGGCCAGGTGCCCCCAGGCCAGCTCCGTCCTCCTGTGCTATGTCCAGCTGGCAGAGATGGTGCAGAAACCCTCTGACTGAGCCCCTAGCCCCCAGACCTCCTTCATATTGTCCGTGTCCCAGAGCACAGTGTACCTGGGTGTCTTCATGGATCTCCCCCTAACAAGGCCCCAGGGACCACTGCTGAGAGGTACAGGTGCTCTGGGCCAGGCAATGGCGTTTCCCTCTCACTCCAAAGCAGAGCGACTCCGGCCTTGGCCCCGTGCCTGCTGCCCTCTGACCCTGCTGTGTTCTCTGAGGCAGGAGATGCGTCCCACCAGCAGGCACCTTGCCCAAGCTCCCTGTCCACATCCTATCTGTCAAAGGCTCCAGAACCATCTGTCCTGCTCTCCCCTCACTGCCATCGCCCCTGGCCCCAGCAGACCTCCACCAGTCAAGGAGGTTTGCCCCTCCAGCAGGCCACTAGGGACAGGTGGGATAGGAGGCAGCAGGTAGGGCGCCAGCAGGAGCAGTCTCATCCTCAAAAAGCCAGGAGGTCCCCCTAACCCATCTGCCCAGGCTGGAGGGGCTGGATTCAAGTGGTCCCCATGGTTGGGCATGGGTTCAAGGTGAAATTATTCACCCTCTGATGTCCCTCAGACCATGTGGAAGAGGCCCTGAGAGACGACAGAATCCTCTTTAAATCTGAGTTTCACCAAAGGCAACAACCAGCTGAGAGATGGGCAGCCTGGCCATCATTCCCAAAAGGAGTGTGGGGGCTAGAGGCCAAGAGGCCAGAGGTCAGAGGCCACAGCCCTAAGGCTAGCAGTCTGACATCAGACAGTGTTCCCACATGGAGGCTGATCCCCCCCAGGAAGAGGCCAGGACCCCTCCTTTTTTCCTGCCAGGGGTCTCAGCACAGATTTGGCACCAGGGCAGCCTTAGAGGGCAAGCAGGCGGCAGGGCCAAATTCAAGGACTCACCTGGCACCTGCCGGGGGGTGAGCTCCGTGGAGTCCTGCAGGCTGATGAAGAGGAGGAGGCCTGCGGCCCCGAACAGCAGGATGGATGAAAACATGCAGGCCAGCTGCATTGTTCCAGCACGTAGGGTCATCCGAGCCTTGCTCCGGGGTCACCTCTTGGGTGTGGGAAGCGAGTCCTTCCCTCATTGTCTACACCAGGTGTCCATCAGGCCACGGTCTACAGGGCAGAGGGGGAGAAAGACGGTCCATCACCGAGGCACAGGGCCTCCCGGGCGGGTGGAGGCCCCAGCCACTGCTGGTGACCAAGTGCGCTCCCTAGGGCCCTCAGCCCTCCAGCTTACTCAGGTGTGTCCCTTCCACCTTTTCAAGCCCAGGAAGGCTGAGGGAAGTCCGCTCACCACCTGTGGCTGGGACACCAGATTTACTTCAGGGTCTCCTGTATTGGCACCCTCAGAAAAACTGTGGTGAGAGGCACATCCTGGTCTCTGCCTGAGGGGGCCCAGAGTAAGGCCCTGAAGCCCAGAGCCAGGGACAGTGGCCACCCACCTGCACTGTCCATACTCTGAGCCTCTAGACAGGTATGCAGGTACCCCACAGTGGGTTCCAGGTACAGGCAGGAATCTGGGTCCTTTTCCCTTGCAACTGGCCTGGCAGACAAGAAGTCCTCGGATCTCCCTCGGTCCTGGCCCGTCTCTGAGATGCTCAGGACAAGGGTGTCCACAGAGCAGGAGGCTTTGAGAAGGAGCCTCCCAGGCCCAGAGGATGTCAGGGACGGACGGACGCCCTCGCCCAGCCATTGCTCCACAGCACCCAGAGCTGTGCCCCCTGACGGATGGGTGGATGGGCTGGTGGGATTGTGGACATAGCCACACTAATGGGAGCTGAAGCTCTGACCAGATCGTGGTTGTCCCCGATCTCAAGGCCCTCGGGCCTGGGGCTGAAGCAGGGCAACCGGACCCGAGTCTGACCCATCCCAGGCTCAGAGGTCGCTGCCAACAGCCCTCACATTCCTGCAGATGGGCCACTGCAGACGCATGGCCTGCAGGCAACTCGCCCCTTACCTGGGCCCCTCCTGAAGGGGAAGGAATCCCCAGGGCCCCAGTATCAACCTGTGACCCCAGCTGGGCCAGGCTATGGGTCAAAATGGGGCAACCCAAGGCCCTTTGCCTACAGGAAGGATGTGAGTTCCTGCAGTGGGCAGCCCGGGTGCTGCAGCAGAGCCCGCATGGGAGGCTGCACCGGGTGGGCAGGGGCCCCAGGACTGCCCCTTTGGAAAAGGGTCATTCTGTGCCCCCGCTTTCTCCAGTTCTTACCCGCCTGGGCCCAGGACACCACCTTCGTTCTTTTTTCCCTTTTAAAGGTTTTAGTTATTTATTTTTGGAGAGAGGGGAAGGGAGGGAGAAAGAGAGGGAGAGAAACATTGTTTGGTTGCTCCTGCATGTTCCCAACTGGGCACCCAGCCAAAACCCAGGTGTGTGCCCTGACCAGGATCTGAACCAGCGACACTTTGGTTTGCGGTATGACACACCGCTCACTGAGCCACACAGTCAGGGCACACACCACCCTCTTTCCACCCAAGGAGCCTTGGCTTCACCCATCCTGAAACAGGGCAGTGCCTGAGGGAGGCTGAGCCAAGTGGGCAGCTCCCAGCGGCCTCTGAGACACAGGTGGGGGCTGGAGGGGCCACAGGCCAGAGGAGAGATGTCTGCTTAGCACAGGGGTGTTTCTCTGTTAGGGTCTCCTCAAGCAGAGGGAACCGGTGCCTGACCTGGCACCCAGGCACTGGGGCAGGGAGTCCCAGCTACGGTCCCTCTGAGTCCAGCCTGCGGGGCGTGAGGCAGGAGGTGGTAATAACAGAAGCCCCTCTCCCCTGCCTGGACCACAAATCCCAAGGACTGGACGGTGCTCAGGAAGGCTCTGGGGCTGAGGAGCACTAAATTGCAGGTTTTGGTTTCTCCCCTCTGCAGGCTCTGTAATTATTTTTTCACTCAGTTAACTCTAATTAGCCTGCCCCAGGCCTCTATGCACGAGGAACATGCCTGCATTCGGCTCTCTCTGGGCTGTGCTGCACAGGTGGTTCCCATGACCCCCCCAGCTTCTACGCTGGGGAGGTAGTGCTGAGCTAGGCTCAGCTCTGTTCTGGAGCTGGCTCTGGGGGTTCAGGCTTGCCCCAACCTCACTGCAACAGCCCCCACCTCAGAGAAAGACTGCTGCTTCCCACCATCACCGGGGACCCCCTGCCCTGGTCTTTCAGTGGGTGAAAATGGGCAGCCCCATGTCCTCATCCCCCATGACTCAGACTCTGATACCCTTCATGTGGGGTCATGGCCTCCCCCTTTGGGGCTTCCCTGGATGGAGCTGTCCTGGGGGCCAGTGCAGGCCTCAGGCCTTGTCCTTATTGAAGGACAAGGTCTTTCTCAGTGCTGCCCACAGCATGCTCACTGCCATGTGGTCCCCTGGCACTGCACGCAGGGCCCACCGGGCCAGCCCTGAGTTCCCGGGGGAGTATGAGCCACTGATGGGGGAGGTGGAGCTATTCTCTCCCACCCGCACTCTGCCCCCACCCAGCAGTTGGCTTAACCCCTTGGGATTCCCAGAGTTGAAAGAGGGGGATGACATTACACACAATGATGCAATGGGGACAGGACACAGGCAACATGCACTACCACATATGTTCATACACGCCTGAGTGTGCACTGGTGAGCACCTGCACGCCCACACTACTGACGGTCCACAGCAAGACCCTAGCTATAAGGAGAGTGCCATGGAGCCCTGATCCTGGGGGCTGTGGGGTCAGACACACTCTGCAGCTACACAGGCCTCCGGAACCTGACCCCAGGCCAGGGGGCCAATCTGATCCTGGAGGACCTCTGACATCAGGGCATTTCATGAGCAGCTTTGGGGCCCCTTCCCTGTGTTGGCCCTGGGGGAGCACAAGCATGTTCTGCACACCCAGGGGGTGGGAACTGAGGATTCCTCTGCCCAGCCCCAAAGCCTCACACCCTCCTGTCAGTGCTCTTGCTGGAGACCATCTAGCCAGCTAGCTCCCTGCTCCATGCAAACAGGAATCAAAAGGTTAGCACGTCTCCCCTTCTGGGTACCTGGTTGGCGTTTGGCTGGGTCTGGGTGCCCCAGGAGGGGGCCAACGGCACAGAGTCTGTAAGAATCTCCTTTCTTTAATGGGGGGTTGGTGGGCGGTCATCAATACACCACCAGACACTGCAGAGAGTATGCAACTGATCTATTGTTCCCCTGAGGGCCCTTGTCTCCAAAGTCACGGGTTATTTTCAAGGCAACAGGGAGATGCTGGTCCAAAGGCTGTTTACCTCCTTCTCCTGGGAGCCCAGCTGCTGCCTGGGTGGTGCATGCTGGGAACGGTCCCAGGCAGGCCCAGACTGCCCAGGGCCCCATAAACAGTCACAGGCCTCTGCTCCAACCTGGGACTGGAGCATCCTCACTGCGCACTGCATCCCCCTCTGTTCCAATGACAAACAGGACACCCTCCTCCATCTCCCTGCCTCCCTTCCGAGACCCACAGACCAGGAAACTCGAATAACAGGAGCAGTGTGGGGTGGGGTACAGCAAGAAAATTAAACAGCCCACTGAGTTTCCAGAGGGTCCTGCCCTTATCACAATTCCTAGTCCTCCCGGTGGCTTTTCTCTCTGAGACCTGAACGGCGTCACCAATTTTTACTGTAAGAAAAAAAATCCAATTAATCTTGTAAACACCTCCTGGGACACACGACAGGGCTAAGGATTCCTCCCATTTCCTCATTGATCTGATTTTCAAATGTGTCTCTTTGGAAAATTCACTTCAGGGCACAAGCAAGGACTTGGGAATTCAGCCAAAACACACGCACCTCCAGTGGTGACAGGCTGGCAGGCGCACGCACGGACGGACGGCTCCAAGGACATGCTGGGCTGAGGCTGCTCCAAGGCCTGGATGTTCCCCAGCCACCCAGAGGGCCCCTTCCAGCTGTGGGGACCCATCCCACTCCCCAGGGGAGGCAGCAGGAGGCGTCGGGGCACGTGCTTATGGGTGCACCCACTTGGTGTGCAGACCCGCCTGGGAAAGTTCTCTGTCTGGTCAGTCTCCTCCTCCCAGGGGCAGGAGCAAACAATGACGTCCCTCCCTCCCGGCTGAGGGCTCCAGGAGAAGCTGCTCATTGAGAGAGAGAGAGAGAGAGAGAGAGAGAGAGAGAGAGAGAGAGAGAGAGAGAGGCTGCTATGGCAACTTGAGGAGAATGGAGCCAGGCACTGCCTTCACCTTGAATCCGGCACCGGCACGGAGCGTTAGCCCTGGCGGCAGCGGGGCCCCCGCTGGGGCGGCGCTGGGGCTGACCACCGCTTCCCTCCGCAGCCTCCTTGCCTGGGGAACTCGTTTGCCCCGTGTTGAAACGGAGCACACAGCCCAGTACCCCGAGAACACCACCTCCATCTGTGTTAGACAAGTTCTTCCGTGTGTGCGGCTCCTGCTTTACTTCTGAGATGGGGTTCTCCTTGATTTCAGATCATTAAAATCCTGCAGCTAATTGAAACCGCTCTAATGGCAGCGGCGGCGGCACCGCATTCGGGGACGAGCCCCTCCAGGTTTCCCACACAGGCACAAAGTTGCAATGCTCTGCGAGGTGACGGAAGGCTGCTGCCAGGGGGCTGCGGGGCGGGGTTGTGGGGCGCGGCTGCGGGGCGGGGCTGCGGTCCGGAACGGCTCTAGCAGGGGAGCGCTGACCTGGGTCCTGAAATACCCAGGGCCCAGCCCTGTCTTTCCAGGCCCTTAAGGCTGCACCCCACTCTTGGGGCAGGCAATTCTCCGCTATCCACCTCTCTGTTACAACGCGGATATTCCCTTTAATGCCCCACGCTCCGTGCAGTGGGGAGAAGAGAGTGCTAAGGCAGAGGCTGAGGTGCGTAAATCAGGCTCCGACAGCCTCAAAGCCTTGCCCTACTGGCTCCACTAGGAACGCCGCCACCCAGCTTCCCGCAGGCGCTCACACAGAGATGCTGGGGGGAAGCCTGCAAACACACAGCTGTGGCAAGGGGCTCCGGAGAGCCTGGCCCAGGCGCCACAGACTGCGAGGCCCTTGACAGCTGTTAGGAGTAGAACCACACCATAAATGCCACCTCTGTCCAGTACTTCCCCTATTTTCAGGGCATTTTATGCCAATGGGGCAAGTGGAGAAGCCAAGACCCTTCCCACTCCCACCATGGCAGAGTCTG